GGCTGAATAATATTCCATTGTATCGATATGTTACATTTTTGGATGTGTTTATAAATCAAGAAGGCAGTTGGGTTGCTTCATCCTTTTGGCTTTTGTGAATACTGGTACATGGATGTTCAAATATATTTTTAAGATCCTATGTTGCATAGTTTGGATATAGAGTCATAAATGAGATTACTGTGTTTAATAATAATTCCATTTTTAATTATTTGAGAAACATATAATATTTTAAAATAATGGCTGCATCCTTGTTTTTCACCAAAAAATAACATGGGTTTTATTTTCATTGCATCATCAACAGATTTGGTGCCTTTTAAAAAATTTTATAGTGGCTGTTCTAACCGGTGTGAGGTGATTTTGTTTTTCTTTGTGCTTCTTATGCATTTCTCTACAAATTAGTAATTTTGTCTGTCCTTCAAATGCTTTTTCCCATGTATATATCTCTTGATAAAGATTCAGTTAAAGTTCAATATTACTGAACTTTATATGATAAACTTTATATGGTAAAGTTCAATTTCTTAATTTCTGTTCTTCATACCTTCATTTCTCATCAAGTTATTCAACTTTATTGTTCAGTTTGAAGAGTTGTTTATATATTCTGAATATTAACTCCTATCATATGTGATTTGCAAATATTTTCACTTATTGTGTAGGAGACATTGTCACTCTCTTGAATATTTTCTTTGATGTGTAAAAATTTTGAAGTATAGCGTAATTCAATTTTTCTGTTCTTTGTTGCTCGTACATTAATATTGTAAATGGTGCCAAGACCAATATAATGTCTTTCTCTATATTTTTCCTAAGAGATTTGTTATTTTTTTATGTCTGTGTTTTATTTAAAATAATTTTTGTATATGGTTCAAGGAAAGGATCAGACTTTATAAGTGTTAATATCCAATTTCACCATTTTTTTGAAGAGATTATCTTTCCTCTATTGTGTGCTCATGGCAACTTTGTGGAAGATCATTTGATCATATACAGAAGGGTTCATTTCTAGGCTCTCTGTTCTGTTCTTTCATCTCTTTATCTGTCTTTGTGTCAGTACTACATTGTTTTTGTTATTGTAGCTTTTAATATGTTTGGAAATCAGGAAGTATAATGCCCGTTTGTTCTTTTTCATGGGTGTTTGCATAATTATAGCTTTTAATCAAATTTTTAAAATTTAGACAATATTTATGTTAAAAACTATGTGCTACGGTATTTTTATAGAGATTATGTTGAATTTCTTTACCACTATGGGTTGTATTGACATCTTAAAAAAATGAAGTTTTTTTGTTTGTTTTTTTTTTGAGACCTCGTTTCGCTCTTGTTGCCCAGGCCAGAATGCAATGGCTGGTGCGATCTCAGCTCACTGCAACCTCTGCCTCCTGGGTTCAAGCAGTTCTCCTGCCTCAGCCTCCTGAGTAGCTGGGATTATAGGCACCCACCACCATGCCTGACTAATTTTTATGTATTTAGTAGAGACAGGGTTTCACCATGTTGGCCAGACTGGTCTCAAACTCCTGACCTCAGGTAATCCACCCGCCTCGGCCTCCCAAAATGCTGGGATTACAGGTATGAGGCACTGTGCCCGGCCCAAAATGAAGTTTTTTGACCCTTGAGCAAAAAAATATGTTGAAGAATGTATTTTATTTTCACATTTCTTTTATTTCCTAGTTTCTTTCAGTTTTGGTCAGAGAACATACAGTTTATTATTTTGGTCTTAAGTTTATTTATTGTTGTTTCTGAGACAGGCTGGAGTGCAGTGGCATAATTTTGTCTCACTGCAGCCTCAGTCTCCTGGACTCAAGTGATCCTTTTCCTCAGCCTCCTGAGCAGCTGGGACTACAGACATGCACTACCATGCCTGGCTAATATTTTGATCATTTGTAGGGACAGGTTCTCACTATGTTGTCCAGGCTGGCCTCAAACTTCTGGCTTTAAGTCATCCTCCCACCTTGAAATCCCAAAGTGTTGGGTTATAAGCATGAGCCCCTGCACCCAGCTAGTATTCTTATGTTAATAAGACTTGATGTATGTCCTAACAGAATACACCAGCTGCAAATAAGAATATTGTGTATTCCCTTGCTTTTGACTAGAAAGTTTTGTACATGTCTGTTAAGCCTAGTTGGTCTATGATATTGATTGGATGTTCACGTTCTCCAAACCTCATGCTGCGATGTAATCCTCAATGTTTGATGTGGGACCTGGAGGAAGGTGCTTGGGTCATGGGGGCAAATTCCTTATGAATGGCTTGGCACTCTCCTCTTAGTAATCAAAAAGTATACACTCCATCAATTCAAGTGAGAACTCGTTTATTAAAAGAGTAGGTAGATATGGTAACTTAGATTACTGGTAAATTGACCCATTTTACCATTATATAATATCAGTCTTTATCTCTTACTGGTACTTAAAGCATGTATGTCTGATATAATTATGACTACCTCACCCAATTGTGGTTGCTATTTGCATAGATATAGATCTTTTTCATTCTGTTACTTTCAGCCTATTTGACTTAGTGCCAAAATGGATCTCTTTTAGGCAGTATATTACATGCTTTCTTACTTATTTATTTACATATTTATTTCTTTTTGAGATAGGATTTCCTCTGTCAACCAGGCTGGTTTGCAGTGGTGTGATCATGGCAATGAGCTGCAGCCTCAACCTCCCAAATTCAGATGATCTTTTCATTTCAGCCTGTCAAGTAGCTGGTTACAGGCATGTGCCATCATACCCAGCTGGTTTTTTGTATTTTCTGTAGAGACAGGGTTTTCCCATGTTGCTGAGGCTGGTCTCAAACTCCTGCAATCAAGTGATCAGCACATCTTGACCTCCCAAAGTCCTGGGATTACATTTCTTTTTATTAAGTAGTTTAATTTATATTTAAAATGATTTTTTAAAGAAATGATGTTACTATTACCAGTTTCATTGTTGTTTCTTGTGTAGATATATTTTTTCTCATTTCCTGTTTTACTCCTTAAATTTTTGTTTAATCTCATAGTGACATGCTTTATTTTTTGTTTTGCATAGTTTCTATAAATATTATCTTTGTAATCATCTTGAAAAATGAAGATTATAAAAAACATCTTAAAACAGTTTCTAGTTTGTTACTAATATTACAAATTATTTTATATTGTGTTTCTATTAACAGATTTATTCAGATTCATATTTTGTTTTTTGTATTCTGTAGAAGAACTTTAAGGGTTTGATGCTCCATCATTATGATAGTAAAGAATTCTATGTTTGTCTATATTTACATTTAATAGAGAGCTTTTTATTTATATATGGTTTTCTGATGCTGTCCAGCATTATTTTATTTTTCAACATAATGGACTTATTTTAGCATTTCTCTTTTTGTATATGCAGTGTCTCACTATGTTGCTCAGGCTGCTCTTGAACTCCTGGTCTCAAGTGATCTGATTGCTTTGGTCCCCTAAAGCTGTAGGATTACAGGCATGAGCCATGGTGCCTGCTCAGCATGTAGCATTTCTTATAGGACTGTGCAAGGGATAATGAACACCCTTACCTTTTATTTTGGAAAATCTATATTTTTCTTGTTTTTAAAGTAAAACAATTTCTAACCGAGTGTTATTGGTTAGGAATATTTTTTCTCTTATTACGTCAAAATTTGGAAAGTTCTCAGCCTTTTTTATCTTCAAGTATCCTCTGTACTACTTTTTTTTCTATATTCTTCTAAGATTTCTTCCATGAATATATTGATTTAGTTGATGGTGTCCAATAATTTTACATTCAGTGTTTTAATTTTGTTTTGGACTTTGACTACATCACACAGTTTCTTTATGGCCTGCAAAATTTTTGTTGACAGTTCACTGGTTATCTCATAAGACTATGCATATAAATGACACATTACTTCTGTCTTGCAGCTCCCAAGGCTCTCTTCTTGTCTGTAACTTCTGAAATTGTGCTTATATATGTGTTATAAGTATCTTTGTGTATATCCTAGTTTGTCTAGCTTCTTCATTTTTTATTTTATGATTTTTAGTTACTGTTTTTTCTTGTATTTTTTACCTCTACAATTTCTGAAGGGGTGTTGATATTTTGAATATTTTTGTTGTTATCCTCATTTGTCTGAGTTTCAAAAATCATCTGTGTTTCTATTTCACTCATGGAATATTATTCAATTTATTTTCAATTTCTTTAATTTATAACTTTATTTTTTATGGTTGCTTTCTAAAAATTTTATAATTTTTTGACGGGGCCATGTTGCCCTAATATTTTGTATACATTGTAATCTTTGATTGAGATTTAGACATTAAAAAAAAACTGCCTGTTACAATCTTTATTACGTAGCCTTGTCCTGGCATAATCTTAAACCAGTTGTCTTGGCTAGAGATTCCCTGAGTCTCTCAAACATGTTCTTAGGATGTATCTTGTCTGAAATTTTGTGTTTACTTTTTAGTTAAAGGAATTGATTTGTGTTTTTTGATAAGTCAGTAATCAGTTGCTACACGTTTGTTGTCTGTAGTGCTGCTGCATTCTCTCTGCTGCTGTAATGTTTACCTTTGATCTCAGCAGACAAACTGTCATTCCAAAGTATACCATCATTTCTTTCAGCGCTTTATGGCATGGGAGACAGAAACCAGTGTCTAAAAAGGCCCCTAGAGGCCAGAAATAAAGATGTATGTGCCAGTATTTTTCTTGTCTTCTAAAAAAGAAACCAGGAATTGGCAATTTACTGCTAAAGGCACTGGGTTATTGAGGAGCAGGAAGAGCTGTGTTGTGTAAACATAACACAGTTTTCTTTTCCTTCTATGTAGCCCTTTGCAGTGTTCTCACCTGGGGCACTGTACACATTTAACTCATTTATAACTTTTCCACAAATGTATTTTGGTCAGTATGTTTTTATTACATTTATATTTCTATAAGGAATTAGGGCCTGTAGTATTTTGCTGTGCCATCTTACTTATGTTGTAGTTTGTATAATTTTATAGGTTAAATTTGTAAAGTATATTCATCTGAGTCTAGTAAGTGAAGTAACTTGTTATTTTAATTTTTTTCAGTTATGTGTTCTCATTTTACCCAAGATGTTTGGCCAGAGCAGAGCATAAAAGATTCTTTCCAAAAAGTGATACTGAGAACATGTGGAAAGTATGGACATGAGAATTTACAGCTAAGAAAAGACCATAAAAGCGTGGATGCATGTAAGGTGTACAAAAGAGGTTATAATGGACTTAACCAATGTTTGACAACTACTGAGAGCAAAATATTTCAGTGTGATAAATATGTGAAAGTCTTTCATAAATTTTCAAATGTAAATAGAAGTAAGATAAGACATACTGGAAAGAAACCTTTCAAATGTAAAAACCGTGGCAAATCATTTTGCATGCTTTCACAATTAACTCAACATAAGAAAATTCATACTAGAGAGTATTCTTACAAATGTGAAGAATGTGGTAAGGCCTTTAACTGGTCCTCAACACTTACTAAACATAAGATAATTCATACTGGAGAAAAACCCTACAAATGTGAACAATGTGGCAAAGCTTTTAACCGGTCCTCAAATCTTACTAAACATAAGATAATTCATACTGGAGAAAAACCCTACAAATGTGAAGAATGTGGCAAAGCTTTTAACCGGTCCTCAACCCTTACTAAACATAAAAGAATTCATACAGAAGAGAAACCCTACAAATGTGAAGAATGTGGCAAGGCCTTTAACCAGTTCTCGATTCTTAATAAACATAAGAGAATTCATATGGAAGATAAACCCTACAAATGTGAAGAATGTGGCAAAGCCTTTAGAGTATTCTCAATTCTTAAAAAACATAAGATAATTCATACTGGAGAAAAACCGTTCAAATGTGAAGAATGTGGCAAAGCCTTTAACCAGTTCTCAAACCTTACTAAACATAAGATAATTCATACTGGAGAGAAACCCTACAAATGTGATGAATGTGGCAAAGCCTTTAACCAGTCCTCAACCCTTACTAAACATAAAAGAATTCATACTGGAGAAAAACCCTACAAATGTGAAGAATGTGGCAAAGCTTTTAAACAGTCCTCAACCCTTACTGAACATAAGATAATTCATACTGGAGAGAAACCCTACAAATGTGAAGAATGTGGCAAGGCCTTTAGCTGGTCCTCAGCTTTTACTAAACATAAGAGAAATCATATGGAAGATAAACCATACAAATGTGAAGAATGTGGCAAAGCCTTTAGTGTATTCTCAACCCTTACTAAACATAAAATAATTCATACTAGAGAAAAACCCTACAAATGTGAAGAATGTGGCAAAGCCTTTAACCAGTCCTCAATTTTTACTAAACATAAGATAAATCATACTGAAGGGAAATCCTACAAATGTGAAAAATGTGGCAAAGCCTTTAGTGTATTCTCAACCCTTACTAAACATAAAATAATTCATACTAGAGAAAAACCCTACAAACATGAATGTGGCAGAGCCTTTAACAAATCCTCAAATTATACTAAAGAGAAACTACAAACCTGAAAGATGTGAGAGTGATTTTGACTACATCTCAAACTTTTCTAAACATAAAACCATACTGGTGCCCTAGAAATGTGAGGAATGTGACAAAGCCTTTAAATGGTTGTCACACTTGATTGTAGGTAAGATAATTTATAATGGAGAAAAATCCTACAAGTATGAAGAATGTGGCAGACTTTTAACCAATCCTCACACCTTATTGCACAGGAAAGCATTTATACTTGAGAAAAATTATATAAAGAATATGGAAAAGCCATTTATATCTTCTCACATCTGAACATCAGAGAGTTCATACTTAATAAAATGCGGTTACTGTCAAAAGATCTTTCAGAAAATATAAGCCTTTAACATAAGGAAGAGTATTCTTAAGACAAACATTGCAAATAGAGGGTTGTAGTACCTTTACTTTTGTGATAGATCTTATTGTACACATTTTGTACCAGAGGACTATCGTAATGATTGTATAAGCAGGCCAGTTTCTAACTGGTGCTGGATGGTATCACGTTGTCATTTTGATTTCACCTCTCGATTATTAAGAAAGGTTGCAGCAACACCGTTTTTTTTTTTTTTTTTGAGAAGAGTCCTATATGTCACCCAGGTGTGAGTTGAAAATGGGTAGAATTCTCAGCTCCAGCCGCCTCGGCGTTCCTGTTTAGGTGTTCTGTGCCTCAGCGTCCTGAGTTAGCTGGGACCACATGGCGAATGACATCAACAACCTGGCTAAGTTTTGTATTTAAGTACAGACGGGGCTTCACTATGTTGGCCAGGCTGTCTTGAACTCCCTTGCCTGCATGTGATCCTTCTGTCACACGCCTCCTGCAGTACCTGGGACTCACAGGCCATGCACCAACCACACACCTGGTAAAAGGTTTCATATTTTAACGTACAGACCGGTTTTCACTATCTTGGCAAGGCTGGTCGTTAAAACTGCCTGCCTCCATGTGATCCTTCTGCCTCACTCAAAGTGCTGAAGATTATAGGCAATGAACCCACTCTGGCCAATTTCCCTTTTTTGGCGCATCTTTTATTTTTTCTTTGAGAGTGCTTTATAACACATGGACTGCTTTAAAAATTAAAATTTCTTATAGATCATATATATCTTATCACCTTGTTGTATTCCAGTTTGCAAATCTCTTATTTCATCTCGTAGAATTGATCTACACTTGCTCGAATAGTTTAATTTGCTGTCTGGG